TCCCATTTCCCCCCTTTACGATGAATTCACTAGTTCGCCAGTCTTCCTTAGTTCCTTACTTCCCCCGGGTCAGCCCCTCACTTGTGGCGTTCGCATACGGCCTCACTTTGCCATTTGCTCGATTCCTGACCGTGCGCTCTACCTCCCACACCCAGGGGGGAGGGGGGGGGGGGGGGGAGGCTCGAAGATTCGAGGCCGTTGATGCGCAACGGGTGTAGGAGGGGAGGGTTATTCTGGATTGGCATACCCTTGTACCACTGTTGCAACTCCTTCTTATCGAAATGGGTCGACTTTTGCAACTCAGAGAGCTGCTCTTGCGAAAGCTTTGACTGTCTAATGATCGGAAGAGCGTCGCGGTTAGCAGATGCGCATGGTTCAAATGGGGTGTGTGAACCCCCTTCACCAGACTCATGACGTAGGCAGGCAGCGAATAGACGGAGGCGCAGGGGAGCTCAGGTAGGGATTCAATGCCGAGGCGACCCGTATGGAAAGTAGAAGAACACATAAATGCATGAGCGACTGTTTGACGGTGTTGCGCTCAACGTCCTGAAGCCAACGGGCATGGGCAGGAAAGGGGGGGCGTGAGACAGCGCGAGGATTCCTTACGATTTGCCCATGGTTTGCGATGGCGGGGTAGTAGAAATCAAGTCTCTCGAGAGGGTGGGGGAGGATGTGCGTGCGGTACTGGGGAGATGAGGGATCCGCTGGGTGGAGGTTTTGGGGCGTCGTAAGTCGTCGCGAATATCGTCAAGGCGTGGTGGTTGTAGGTTGGGCGACTGATTGGAGAGGCCGGAGTAGCAAGAAGGATCGCGGGATGGCTGCCCTCGAACGGTCGAGGCGACGGCGTCGGCGGGTGGGAGTCGAGGTGACTTGGCGGCAGCAGCAACTGGTACCAAGGAAACAAGGTACAGAGGCCAGGGTTCGTCAAATAAGGTGGCGGAGCGGTTAAGTCGCAGGTATCCTCTCCGAGGGTTGTCGTGCTTGGGAGAAATAGAGGCTTTTGGGGGGGAACAGCGTCGAATGAGGTGAAGGTGGAATCAGGTGTGCAAAGTGATGGAAAATGACAGCAGGCAAGGCAATGCAGGTTCCAGCCTGGGTCCCCCTCGGGTTTGGTTGGTAACGGCGGTCCCGTCAAAAAGTTGAGGCAAGGCAAGGGAAGGCCGGAAGGTGCGCGTGACGAGACAAGGCGGGACTGGTGCTGGTGCTGGTGCTGGAGCTGGAACTGGTTGTAGGGACTGAAGAGGAAGGGAAGAAGGAGGGGCGAGCAAAGGGGGGGGGGGGGTTACCTTGGGTGTTAGTGCAGGGGGCCCAGATCCCCGCCCACGCCGGCTGCTTGGAGGGCTTGGAGGGCAAGGGAAGCACCCGATGGCACTCCCTGACTGCACACTGCAACGGCAACCAGCCCACTATAAT